AAAAAAAAAAAAAACAATAAATAGGCAAAGGAACTGAACAGGTACTTCACAGAATAAGAAATACAAAGGGGTCAACAAATATATGAAAAATTTTCAACATTTCTAGCAATTAGAAAAATGCAAATCAAAACTACACTGAAATTCCATCTTATTCTAGTCAGAATGGCAATTATCAAGAATACAAGCAATATTAATAAACGGTGGAGAAAAGGACGTGCTTATACATTACAGATGGGACTGCAAATTGCTGCAACCACTATGGAAAGCATTACGGCGATTACTCAGAAAACTTGAAATGGAACCACCTGTTATCCCACTCCTAGGATTATACCCAAAGGACCTAAAATCAGCATGCTACAGTGATGTAGCCACATCAATGTTTATAGCAGCTCAATTCACAATAGCTAAACTATGGAATCAGCCTAGATGCCCTTCAACAGATGAACTAAATAAAGACACTGCAATCTGTATACACAATGGAATATTACTCAGCCTTAAAGAAGAATGAAATTATGGTATTTGCCAGTAAATGGATGGAACTGGAGAATATCATGCTAAGTGAAATAAGCCAATCCCAAAGAATCAAAGGCCAAATGTTTTCTCTGATATGTGTGTACAAATTCACAATATGGGGGGTAAGAGGGAATAAATACTTCGGGTTAGACAAAGGGGAGTGAAGAGAGAGGTAGGGGGATGGGGGTAGGAATGAAAGTAGAATGAATGAGACATTATTACCCTATGTTCATATATGGTACATGACCTATGTAACTCTACATCAGGTACAACCAGAAGAATAAGAAGTTATTTATGAATGATTGTCAAAATGCATTCTATTGTCATGTATAACTAATAAGAATAAATTTTAAAAATTGATACTAATTTTTTAAAAATATTCTTTTAGAGCAAGTCAAATCTTTAGATTTTTATTTATCCCCCACCCACCAAGGATTATCATCCCCTTGGGGACAATATTGTCCAATCAAGAATACATGATATAGAGCAGTTTTACTTTCTAGAATATTCCCTGTAGATTATATAGATTTTTTTTCTCAGCCTTTCAATTTCTGTAAGAATTTCTCAAAATGATGTTTTAATTAAGGTACAACAGAGACTTTTTAAAAAGGCAAACCCACAAAGGATTCCTCCTTACCCCCTATTCAAACTAAATTGTAACCATACTTTATACATTCAAAGAAAGAACTAAAAAAAGGAAAAAAGACAAAATAATGAGAAATTAACCATATTCAATAACAGATGACTTAGACTGAAGGTAGCAGGAATAACAGACCATGAAGACAAACCATAAATCCCTGGCCAAACGAGTATTCTCTTCAGAATCACTCAAGTCCACAGGATCTATATATTTGCCTTCTATTTTTTTCTACTGCTCCTGTCCTAATCTTAACTTTTCAGTTACCTTGGTGTTATTGTTAGGATCTGACACCCCCAAAGTCTCATGTGTTGAAGGTTTGGTCCCAGATACAGCCATGTTCATAGGTGGGGCTTTGGGGAAGTGATTAATCCACCCATAGTTGAATGTACTACAGGTGAGATAGGAGAAGCTATAAGTAGATGGGACATGGTTGGAGCAAGTAGGTTACTGAGGGGGTGTCCTTGGAGACCATATCTTGTCCCTGCCTGCCCCTCTTTCTTCATGCTTTCTGGTTGCCATAAACTGAGCAGCTTCTCTTCACCATGCCCTTTCATCATGATGCCCTGCCTCACCTCAGGCCCAAAGCAATGGAGCTGGCTGACTGTGGATAGAAATCTTTCAAACCATAATCCAAAATAAATCTTTCCTCCTGAACAACTTAGATTGTTTGTATCAGGTATTCTGGTCACTACAATGAAAAACTAAAACACTTGGTCTTTATTTCTTAGTTCTTATTTCATTGTATATTTCCTACAGCTGCCCTAAATTCTTTGGGGAATCAAGGAAATATTTCACAAATATATTTATGTATGTATGTATACACAGTATGTATGTGTATGTATAATATATATTGTATTATTGCATGTATAATATATATATAATATGAGAAATTTTATATATATCAGGAAAAGCACATGCACTCCTACCTTGGCCATCAAAAGAACCTACTAATTGACTGTTATCTACCACTAGTCAATAATCAATTAGTTGATATACCCTAAATACTGTGGATACTTGGGAGCAGAGATCATAACCACCTAACCACACTACAGCAAACACAGAAGTAGTTTGCTGAACAAATGACCCAGAAGATAGTCTAAGCTACACATGTGATATTTCAAGAGACACAAAATCAACTATTTGAATTTATATAAATTGGTATAATATTTGCAGAGTTGAATGTATCATCTCATTTAAATTTTTTACATCATAAAATTATATTTCTATTTTTTCTGATATATATGGTCTTAAAAATTCATACTTAATATCATAAATAGATTAATGAGTTAATGAAGCACTATAAGTGGATGTGCTGGTACCAAAACAGAAGAAAGCACAGGATGAAATTTCAGTACTAGAAAAAATACTTCTGTTTTGTGAAAAGAGTTGTTATACATCTTCTACTAAAGTTAAAGGCAATTCTTACATGTATGACATTTTTCAAAAGTTGTAACTTACACCTGTAAAGACTGGGTCTCATTAGAATACAGCCATAAGGGATTCATAAAGAGGAAAAATCTCTTCACTATTTCTTCTTTCTAATATTGAGACAATTGAATTAAATTGATAGGTCTCCATTTTTTTAATTTCTTTACAGATCAGATAAGAACACTCTCAAAATGTAAAATATACAATCTTCTTATTTTCTGTTTTATAAAACAATGGAACATTAAAAGGCTTTAAAATTCCAGATCCTTTTGAATATTCCAAAGTGTATTTGCACTCTTCTTGAGAAGGGTCTCCTCTTGAGAATTCAACTTAACCTTCACAATATCTGAGATGCCATTCCGCCCCAAGATACAAGGGATACTGAGAAAGATTTCTTCCTTTATTCCATATAAGCCCTGAAAGACAAAGTTAGATTATTGATTACTAACCTAATATAGGAAAGCAACTTTATAAGAGATTATGACACTCAACAAGAATTACTCAAAGGGCAGCAGTGACTATCAACAAAACCAAATTCACTCTTATGTCCTTTGACCATATGGAACTTTAATGAAATGAGGCAGAATCCTTTAAAAGAAAGGTACAATTTTCTTTATCCTATACTAGGTCATCTTTATGTCCAAAGGGAAGGATGCTGTGCTGTCCTTCATGAGGTCATTTTATTTAATGAATGAACAGCCTATGTTGGTACATAGGATATGAGCTAACATTCTGGCAAGACAGGGGCCTTCCAAGGCTAGGCACAAAATGGGGGTGGGAGGAGAGGAATGAGAAGACTGAAGCAGAAAGTGACTGGGAAGGCTCTGCTTTTATCTTTTCAGGAAAGGGCACCAGTAAGTTTGGACAACAGATGGATATAGGTGGACATCTCAAGCCTCCATAGGTGAAGCCCTTGATGGAGCCTACAGGTAATTTTATAGGACTAGCAGACCTGTCGCCACCCTAACAACTACAATGAATATATTCCTGCCCTTCTGCACCGTTAACCACCATCTTTTCCTATGCCTACTTAGAACCTCCCATGATGAATAGGGCCATGAAACAGATGCAGTCTCACACCACTGCTCTATCCTGGGTCCATGGTGCCTCTAGTCAGTGGCTGCAATGTTCCTTCTACTCCTGCAACCAAAGCCAAAGCTACTGAAGCAGCTAGGCAATCCACACCTATACCTGGCATTCAAACTAGCCTCTGCCACCTTTATATTACCCACCAGACATACCCCTGGAAGGTAAGAAGACCCAGTAGACTAGACCCTCTTACATGTACTCTCTGCCCAACTGTCACCTCTCCTCTCTTGGAGCTGGGGCTGTGTTTATGGAAGATGATGGGAAAGCCTTATTCTTCCACTAGGTCTAACAATGAACAACTGTTAGGATCTCCATCAAGGGAAAGGACAGGTCCATTGCCTCTGAAGCAGTGCCTCCTAGCTGCCTAATCTAGCTTAGAGTCCATGGGCACTTTTCAGCCATGCTACCCTTTCTGAGGTCTTTCTCAGGAGCACATGGTGTACCCCTTGTTCCCGTTTTGTTCTGGTAGCTTCTCCCTACAGAGGAACTCTGGCTACCTTCTGTAATACTCTCTCATTTTGGTAGCCTCTTTACACCCAACCTCA